TGAGTTTTTATTTATATTATGCTAAAGAGAAGTCCTATATTTAATTATTTTTCAGTATTTAGAAGAATTTAAAATAGTAATATAAACGGTATTGATCTGCGAATGCACATCAATTTGTACTTATAATTAACATTTTAAAAGTTGCACACAACACGATGTTTATGAAAGGCGAAAGCATTCCATTATGATCAGAGGTCTTAATAACTTTTGAGTAGTATGTATCACGGAATATTCTGTTGTAAGTGGTTCAATTACTATTATTATAATATTTCGTTTGAATAGATTACAGTTATTATAATAACATTATTATTGTTTACTGAATTGCTTTGACGTCTGTGCTACGAATTGCATACACGATGCGCCGTTTTAGAATTAAAACACTTTAAATTATTTTGTTACAATGACGTTATGTCAGTTGATGAAATATATTGTGATGTTGTGTTTAAAATGTTTAGTCGGTAGTGATAGTACAACAAGGTCGTTCCGGGGGTTTGTTTTATTATTATTATTATTTTTTTTTTTTGATGACAGTGCCAAAATAATTTATACTGGGTCGACAACGCGCGTCTATTAGCAGTGTCGGCGCTCGTCCGTGATGTCTCGTTTAGGGTTTAACTCTACAAATTACATTTTTTCCCCTATGTTTCTGAATTAACCAGGAAATATAGGAAAGTATATGCATAATATTACTACAATGTTGTATAGATATGCATCTGATTATTGTAAAACCATCATAATTGACTGTGATAATATATAATATATTTATATATTATATTATATATTTGCATGTCTTTGGAAAATTGTGGATACATTTTATTTTTCACTCAAACTATAATTAGAAGATTTTAAGGGTTTATTTTTAATTGTTTTCAACACTTTATAGTATACAATATACGCGTACTATCATTTCCGAACGAAGTAGTTTCTGTTTACGAAATTTAATTGTTATTTATAACAATGTAATTATGTCAGTTTTTTCTATCCGAACAATTTTGAATAAACGATACTTTTTGATACTATTATATAATTAAAAATATTGTACCCCAAAATATGTATCCCTTCGTTGCTTCTGTTAAATATAATTGAATCATATGGCTAGACAATAGCTGATAATGACAATCGTTCTAATGGCATAATATAAATAAACTCGTGTTGTATGCGTTAAAAAAAAATAATAATAAAAGCATTTCCATTGCTCGATGATCAAAACTTTGTGTATTTTAGGTTAACTTTCAACGAATTATAAATCGAAAATACATCTCTCTCATTTCCATTGACTAAATTTTAATTTTTTAATTTTTACCTCTAAACTTTATTAAGATACAACTTTGTTGTAGTTTTGATTTTTGCATTTTGATGTGGATATTGTTATCAGTAGTGCTCCATAAACTCCACTATAATATGCATCTTAATACCTAAAAAGAGTATTATTGAACTCTTCCGTCATTGAATCAAAAATTATTTTAAAAGTCTTCTAAAATAAAATACTCGCAACTGAAACATTTATACAAACTTATGAGTACCCAGTGCATTCAAACTAATAACTAGTTTATGTGAAATATTGATTTCTATAACATATATTTTAATATAGTGGTAATTCAAACATTTATTTGCGTTTCATAATAATTACTTACCGTCTTTTCATCTTGTCCATAATTATATAAGAAGTGATTACTCTGAAAATTCGATGATGTTGCTAGATAGTTTTCCCATACATTAAAATTTGCAGTAAAATTTGTATGCTGCGTTCATTTGGTCGGTCTTATAAATTTTGTTATTAATGCATTTCTATACTATAATATTTTTGCTTAACAATCATGTTTAATTCAATAGTATAAACTTATACGATTACGCAGTTGTTGTTGTTGTTGTTATGATGTAACGACCTACTTAAATCGTATGGAAAAATTGTTTATGAATCGTATGCATTATGTCTGACACACTGTGCTTGAATAATACAATAATTATGCGTATTACTTAAGTACGTTTTTTTATTTTTTGTTTTCTCGGGATTTTATTCCTTTTCTCTCGCTAAAAGCACAAATATTATCACGCTTAATAATAAATGTTTATGGTACGGTAAAAACGTAAATAATTAAAATGGCATTATTTAAATTTATTCCGGGAAAAAAACTCCTAGGCCCTCGGAGGATTAAATTAATTCGTTATCCACGGTTGCGTCGGGTTTAGAGTAAAACGATGCCTATATAAGAACCAGGGCGAGTTAAAAACAATAAAAAAAATTACATGTAGGTATACCCGTGCAGGGATGTCTAATGTCAGATGCAGTGCGATGGGATGATGGTGGGTGAACAAAGAGTAGATCACACCAGTCGGGTAGGTGGAATTATAGCGATCGAGGTAGACAAACCATAAAAGTTTACCTACCCTTAAAAGTGCGAGGGCGAAAAGTTTTTCACTTTTGAAAGGCTATTAGTTATGTGCGGGTCGCTTCGAGAATGATTTCATCGTACCTACCTATGTGTGTGTGTGTGTGTGTGTAGGCGAAAGCGCTGGAGATAAATACGAAAGATAATAGGTAGGAAAAAAAACACACTATAATATCTTTAATGAGGTATTACGTGTTTGGTGCGTGGGCCGATTAAAAACTCGGAGGGATGAACGAACGAACGTACCGCTTTAGGGAGGTGGGGAGGGGATGATGGTCACGGGAGATAACGATGGAGAAAAATGAAACGGAAGTATATTCAATTACCCTGTATATATGGTATATATATAAGCCACTCATTTCAGCCCCGCGGTGAAATTTCTGTTTTTATTTATAGTCCTTCCATCGTTGTTCGTTTCGGGACGACACGACGGGTACTACTGCCCTCGGCTAATAATAATGCGACCGGAAATTAATATTTTTTAATTCGGTCTATTGCAGTATAATGCGAAGTGCGTGAAATATAAATCACTGTTTGGTTTTCATTATAATTTTGAGAAGTTTTTTTTTTTTTTTTAATTTGTTTTTTTTTTATGAGATCTGTATAAGAATGAATATCATATCTTTTGACGTTCGAAATAAAGAAGAAAAAATCCCGTAGTTTTGTAGTCAGAATTCCGAATGCCTCTGAGCGTGTACTTTCTGACAATAATAATTTACCGGTTGTTTTAATATAGTCGACAATAACAATAATTCGACACGAATGTACATTTTTCATTTTCTATTTTTGCCGGCCGCATTAACCGCCGTGCCATATATAACTTTATTACAATATATATAGTACATTGCAGCTATCCTATATTATTGTACCGTGCAATAAATGATAATGTCGAGTGATTTCGCAAATCCCACCATAATAACGGTAATTTGTCCGTTCAAATATATCCAACCACTCGATCAGTTAAATTCGATCGATGTATATATACACGGCGGTGGTGTCTACTTATTCGTACCTCCCTGTAAACAGAAGGACGAAATTCTTATTTATTAGACGCCACATATTTTACGGACAGTCGGGATCCTTTTAAGTCCGGGAATTTTTATTTACTCGGGGGCCAATATTTTTAGGAGTTAATAATACCTATCACGGATATTATAATCCTACGTTTGGACGTTAAATCATAGTAAGTTACGATACGTTTTCCGAGCACTTAAGTGATTTGAAACAATTTTTTTCCGTCTGAGAGCGAAAAACTTTTTTTTTACGACTACCAAAGATTTATTGCTCGACCACAATGATATGTTCACATTCATATATTTCAAGAGTACATTATATACATGTAGATATATATATATATGGATATACATTATGATTTACAATATTGGAACGAATAAATCTTATTACGCCTGTAATGCGTTAAGATGGAGGATTTTTATATCCGTCGTGTGCTCTGTGAAAATTAACAACATTACTCTAACAATTCACTATTGTATATTATTACTAATAAGACCTATTGTTAATTTTTGCACTTTTTAATAGCGTTTTCGATGGATATTTTTATTGTAAATCAAATCTCGTATTTATCACTATACATGCCGGTTCGAGTTGCTGCATTTGTATTCCAATTAATGTCGATGCCATAAAAACACGACTATTATTATTATGGTTAAAAATGAAAGCAACGTAACATGCAAATGAAATGCGTTCGTCGAATGTATATAGTAATAATAATATGCAAAGAGATATTTTTTCGATCGATCACATACACATGAGTTTGTGTACTCTAAATTCTAATCCAAATTATCGTATTTCGCACAACGTATAATGGACCGTTGTTACATTTTACACCTGTATTATTTTTTTTTGGTCGAAGTACACGTTTAATCCATCAAAGTTATGTGATTTACAACAATAAACGTAATTTACTTTTCTTTAATTTTAGCGCCGTCCACTATTGCTATTGATCGTATTGTACTTTTTTGATATACATAATATACCACGAGCGTAACATGTATTGTATAATAGTTCGCGATTGTTTTCGGTTCACCTATTGGCAGATGTCAAAGCAACGAAATCGGTAATGTCTTGCCGAAAACAGTCGTTTTTAAAACGTCAGTGAAAAACCTCGGCGAAAAGTTTGATAATTTACTAAACTGACCTCCGTGAAGTCCGTCGAATCATTATCGCTTTAAGTCGTGTCGTCGGCGCCCTCGATCGTCCGCCTACTGATATCAATGAGATAATAATAATAATAATATGACCACCGTTTTACCGGACTTACCGTGCACCCCGAGACGGAACTCTCGGAGGGGGTGAACTTTTATGGTTACGTCAGCTCTCGTGCAGAGTGCGTCCCCGGTGTAGTTTATGCTTGTATATATATGTATATTTTATGGGTTCGCGCTGTTTAGTTTAGGGTGGAAATTCCATCGCGATTTAGCGCATTTGGTGAATTTACCGCCGCCATTCATATGCGGACGCCGACTGAATATTATTCTCGCTGAATTGATTTCTATATTATTTTGCTGCGGTTGCGTTGTGCCCCGCCACGGCCGACTGTTTCTCGCCGAACGGGAGCGGGCAAATGAAAAGAAGAAGAAACCGAACGAAATGATAATGGCGACCGCGCAACGGTATAATCTTTATAGTGATATGGAAATGCTTCGTTTATCGACGTCGTCGCCTATGAATTGTAATGCGGCGTTATTGTCGTCGACTTTTTTACGGTTATATTCCGTTTGCGCGCCAATGACGTGCCTGTATAATGGTCGCGGGTTTATTCATTTTTAGTTTCCATTCTATACGCCTCGGCCGACGCTTATCCCAGAACAGTTGCGGATGTACGAAAAACGCTATACTTAATATGACCTCCTCGAATAATACAATAATATCACAATTTATTATTCCCGGAAAACGGAGAAAAAAAATTACCGAGTATATAGGTTGTAATAACTTTATTTTGTATTGTAATATTATTATAATTGGACGGGTAAAACGCTCAGTACTTAAACGTAATTATAATGTTACAACGCACCCCATAGAGGGAAATGATCACTCAATGGGATGCATTATATTTCTATTGAGTTCAAGTCTTTAAGTTAAAGATTATCATGTAAAACAAAACGAAATTCGTTTTTAAATTATCAAAAAAACCAAGCGAATTACGGATAGACATTGCATGTTGAATATAAACTTCACTGTATGGTTCTTTCTTCATAAATATGAAATTATAATAATATTTAACACTAAATTTTTGAAGTGTGACCATCGCTTGGGGATTTCTCCCACAAAATAAGCGAAAAAAATATATTATTCAATATAATTATTTGTATTTTTCTTATTTCTATCCTCCTGTTGTATTTCTTTAGCACAATTGTTTTTATGCAAAATCAACAGACAAATTGAAAGGTACAATCCAATGTTTTCACAAACTTTATAATGTATCAATTATGCACTGCAAATGTTTTGTTACCGCAAAGTTTTACATACAAGTATTGACATTTATATAGTTCTACCACACCAGCGATTACAATCAACAATAGATTTTGAAATTAAAAACGATAATTTTTTTTAATAAACGTTCATTTTTTTTTTGTCTCTTGTTGCAGTTCGACCATTATCGATTAAATTGGTTGGCGACAATCGTCCACTATCTGCAGATTCACCTGTCAATGTCAGTTGCCGAGTTACAGGGGCCAAACCACCACCAATCATCACCTGGTGGAAAGATGCCACCCAAATGACAGATGCCAAACAAATAGTGAGTTATTCCAAAGTTATTATTTCAGTAATCGGATTTAATGAAAAAACGAAGTTGGTACATTAAAAAAAAAACCCATATTACAATATATCCAATAATGTATAAACAACTATTATAGTCCATTCACAAACTGCCCTCTGCAGCTGTAAATTTAGTTTAATTTTTAAAATTATATTTGATATCCGATAAATAACTACCGTGTAATGAATAATTAAAAATGTATGAAACACATTTTAGAAGCTTTAGTAACATACGATACAGCTGTATAAAATATAAAAAAAACTTTAAGAATTTGTAAAGTGGATTTAACATCAAAATTAGTTCGTAACCTTTTTTTGAACCATGAAAGTGATTTAATTTATTCTTCTACATTAAGCGTAGATCGCAAATGATCATGGCGCAAATATACCAATAACGCAATGGTATTTTTTAATATTATATTTTTTATTATAAGATAATATTAAAATGTGTATATGTTGTAGTTATTAATTACATAATCGAGACTCGAGTAGATAATTAACAAACGAACTACCTATTTTGTGGTAAATATTTCAATGAGGATTTTCCATTTTTATCTGAAACATTTTTGAGATCGGCCCATATGCATTATGACGATATTTTTGAATATAATACAAATAGCGAGAAAAAAATCAGTTGAGACGTCATACGTAGCTGGTTTATTTTTTTTCTCTCGTTCATTTTTTACCGAGCAAATGGCTATGTTTTAGTAATATGATGACCTCGGATTAGGACAAAGAATTGAACAAATCCCCACTAACGAGGTGCTACTTCAAACACCCCTCTAAGTGTCTGCTGTCTACACATTTATCGAACTAGGCGATTAAGGTACCTTGCTTTTTTTTCCCTCAAACATATTCCACGTTTATTCATAAGTTCAAACAGTACAATAAATATTATATTATTATTTCAACATGTTTTTTTTTTCTTTTTCTATTATAAAAACTTCATAATGTTTAAGTTGTATAAGTTTCCATATTAGGATTTGTGTAATAATTAAACATGCTAACAAGTTTCTGGTATTATTTATTTATTATATTAGGGTTTATTCACTACTTAATTATTTAAGATTAATTTTTTTAATTATTTAATTTTTTTATAACATGCAATTTAGAATCTGTACCTCTGGGGCATAATAAGTAAAGTGATACAGATAGGTAAAAAAATATACAAATTATTAAATAGTTTACAATAAATTATACACAACACATGAATAATATAAGAAAAGGACATTTTCATAAATTTTATTTTAAAACACGTTTCTATTTGTTGATGTGGTTGGATTAGTTTACTTACATTTTATTCGGATTTTCGTCTTTTTAATATTATTTTCATCTCATTTTTACCAATGCATAAATCCTTCGAAGAAAACAAGAAATGAAAAAGTAGATAGTGCAATAGCCAATAATATTCATATCTGATGAAACATATTGAAAAAAAATATTTCAAACTGGCTATATCATTTATGATAATCTTAAAATTAGGTCAGAACTTTGGAAATTTAAGATTTTAAATATCTTTTTTAATTTATACTGATATACCACTGTGAATGGTAGATAAATATTTTTTGTATTTTATTGTTATTTAAATAATAATCCGTTTCAACGATATACTAAAAATCCCCAAAGTTAAATTAATATTGAGACACAAATACGTACACATAATATAGTTGTTAACTTTGACCATAATAACCCATATTAATTGTTCTTAGTTTTAAACATTAAAATGTATTACACTACACTTAGTATTATTGAGTTTAATCAGAAATATAAACCTAGAATATTGGATAATAATTTTAAATTAGTAAGAATAATGTCAACGTTTTATCACTTAAAAATGGTTTGTTTATTTTTCACACCGCTTAATCTTAATAGAAAAGATTAGGTACATTAATTTTACGAAATAATAATAATAATTACTATTTATGGTTTTGTCCCTTACACTTGAATACTGCAACATTTTTTTTAATAACTGATTTAATAGAGTACCTAAAAAGTAGTTGGATAAAACAAATCCAAAATTAAATATAAGTGATGATAATCTGAGCGCACGGTAGTGTTCCGGTGAAGTTCCAGAAATACTACCTAGTGTATCTTTCACGAAAGGCTTCACCTGGTTTTTTGAACCCTCATATCTCTGCTTCCCCTTAAGATTGACTTTTGAATTTTGAAACACTGATTAAGCTGAAGGAGCTTAGGCCATTGTACAAATTCAAGCCCTTAATATTAAGCCTTTTCAAAAGGAGAAGACTTCAAAGTTTGATTTTTTTATTACGCTTACTGACTGATTGGTCATCAACATTATAAGGTCATTTCCGTATTTATAGGTAAAAACGTGACATGGGAATTTATAGACGTATTTATTTAATTTTACAAAATTAGCATATTATTATTGTTCCTCATAAAAACAAAATACGATGTCCAGTATGCAGTATCTAGCAAAAAAGAATGATATTCAGCAAAACCTAACCACGGAAAAAAAAATCAATCCCATACCCCCTCCCAAAATATTATCAAATTAGTGATATCTTCATTTCAGCCAAGTCTTATCCTTCTTAAATCAATAACCTTAATAAAAAATACATTCACGTGCAAACGAATCTCTTGTATTGATTTATTACCTCTTAGCCAGTTTCAATGGCAAATTACCAGTGGCTGATTGAAATCAATTTCAGTTGTCGACAACGCCAAAGCGACAAAAATATGAGAAAAAACTGTCCGAGTGATGAGCAATACAAACAAAAGAGATTTGTTGCACTTAAATGTATTTGTTTATTTAGATTATTGATTAAATAACGATCAGACTTGAAAGCAATGTAGATATAACTTTTTTTTAAGTTGGTCTGGGACTTGGTCCTTTTTTCAGGGTTAGGTTTTTGTTGAATAATAGTTATCAAAAAATTCTCCAATTCAACTGTATTATACTAGTTTGTACATAGTAACTTGTATCATATTATATCGACACTCTGAATTAGATTTTTTAAAGTATTACAATCTGTGATTATTTATTATCATCACACTTGCAAGTACGAAATAAAACTAAAATGTCCCTGCGCTGAAATGTCTTGTTTATACGTTGTCTGTGGAGCACGCGTGGTCATAACATCACGTTGAAAACTTTCTCTTTCTAGTTTCGATTGAACTCGCCCAAAACCATCGTTAACAGTAGAGTTACTCTCAACAAAGTAAACCCTAAACACACACATATGTATATACATTGCCTTTTGTTTTTTTTGTCTCTGTATATACATCCGATCACGACGTAAATTACGTTAAATCTTCTGGCTGTCCGGCATCGAAAGCCTCCTCGTACCGCCCCTTGATGTTATATATTATCCCTCGTTTTTGATGGTCTATGGCTGTAATAAAATATATATTATTTTGGTATTTGCGGAAGAAGCCTTTGGAAATTCGTAAAAATACACTTACTTACCTCGTTTGCGTAGTCGACTCACTAATAATATATATATTTATTATGTATACAATGGTATCACGTCGACAAAATGATTCATTTTATGTATTTAATGCAGAATGAAAAATTTTTTAAACCATCAACAACGATTTTATCAATAATATCATAGTGTTGATTTCTGCGTAATCAGTTTTGAATTCTGAAGTTCAACGCAATCAAAGAGGATGAGCGTCTTAAATGATCTTCAAATACTATTCCACTGACTACTATTATATTATATATATTATATAGTAAACTGATAATCAGTTTCACTAAATATATACTGAAACGAAGTGCTCCACTAAATAATGGACAGTAATTTTGTAAAATCCCTTTTTATTGAAATTACCAACATCGACTTATTTCGATTAATGATCCTGTGAAGTATAATATGATTTCCATTTTAAAGGCATTTTAAAAAACCTCTCAACCAGTTCAATAATTATTATTTATGTAAGATATCATTTTTGTTTCATCTTAAATCTTTGAAGATGGTTTATTAAACTTTTTCGTACCCAAAATTATTTCCCGAAAAATGTACACATTATTGGATAGACAGTAGCGTTCTGGATTCCCCACTGAATTCAATATTGAATAAAAAAAAATAGTGAATAAATTATGAATTGAATTCTTTAAGTTTATTACGTTGATAATGTGCCTCAATCGCACCTATTATATATTACTATACAGTAATATTATTGTAATTTTCTCTCGTATTCGAAAGCTGGTAATAATAACGCTTTCCATTTCGTCGTGGTTTTATCTTTTCTGTTTGTACAAATACGCGCAAAGGGTTTGGTTATTCACAGTCTAGAAAATGCGCCGAGAAAAATGACGATATGAAAAGAACACGAAATGGGGTGAGAACGTTTAGAAAATTAAATTTAAACGTCCACTTTCTGAAGAATGTGTGTTGTTAAAACTGCGTTGAAATTACATTTGTAAATTGTGTCGGTTGGAATTTACATATCCGACAATTTGTGCTCGAGGAGAAAAATGTTTTTTTTTTTTAAATTACGTTGTGTGCGTACATTAACCCTTTCGTTCGTTTGTTCGGTTTTATTTTTTATTATTATTATTCATCCGTTCGGCGACGAAATATTGTTCTCTCGCACAAGCCAGAAGGGCATCTACGTATATTATATTATTATACGTACGGAGAACGAGCGCCGCCTCTGGATGTCGTCCAACACTATTTTCGCGTTTTTCCTTCCGATTTCCACCACCACCACCACTCCACCATCAGTCCCACAACATACACACACAAAATGCACGCACCCACATTCGTCTGGACGTTTTTGTTCCACGACGTTTCCGCGCGTCCACCAGCCTGCCCGGCATATACTATATAAATATTATAACGTCTGTTATTAGATTTCACCCCGGGGCCCGGTGATTAACGGAATGAATTCGAAATCGTCTGAGCGTGAGAGTCGCAGAGAAGAGAAAACGGACGGAAACGGTCGTGTACGGTCAGCACGTATTGTTATTATTAATACGTCTGTAAATATACCCCCCTCCCCTTAAGTCGG